TGGTGTTATGAAAACAATGAGTAGTACATTGATCATTGGCAAACCTTTTGGGAAAACCTGTTCTGATTCAGAGAGACAGCATCCATCCCAATTTGGATGGTGCAGCTCTTCTTTCTAGGAATCTGGCCAGATCTATTAGTCCTCTAATCTTTGCCCTGACAAAAAATTTCCAGTGTCCCTGCCATTATCCACACATTACCCTATTCAGACGGTGTCTTGCCCATAGCAAAAATCAACAAAAGTAGACAAAAAAAGAAAAATTCTAATGGAGTAAATCATGATAATATAATCAAAATTGAAATGACTGCTATTAAAAAATTCCTAACAATTAAATGTTGTTTAACATAAGATCTCTCTTTTAAAAGAGTTAATGAATAGATCTGTGATTATCATATTGATATACTTTGTTTTACAGAAACCAGGCTCCAACAAGAGGATTATGTTAGTATAAAAAAAGCAAATCCTTCCAGATATTTACATTTTCATATGCCCAAATATGGGCAAAGGGGAGGGATAGCGTCAAATTTACAGTCTGAATCAAAGGTTAGTTCTCCACCCCGCCCCCCCAACCCCCCATCAAAATTGTTAAGCAACAAAACCAAACCTCTCCTGCTTTTAAAGTTGTATCACCTACCAGGTCCTTCCTCTCAATTCAGTTTAAAAATCAGTTTTCAGAGTGCATGTCTGATTTTGTGTTTAAATCAAACAAGGTCAATATAGTGAGGGATTTAACATTCATTCTGACACTGAAGGAGAAAGCTTAAATGCAGCCTTTAATGCCTTAAATGCAGCCTTATACGATGTTCAGAATGTGAATAGTCCCATCATAGTTTGGACCTTGCAATATGACATTGACTGGGAATAAATAACATTATTTCCTCACAACCTTGTACTATCTGGTCAGTTTTTAGTAACCTTTAAGCTTACTGTAACAGAGTTCTCCTCCGATAAACAAAGGATTCACTTCAGCATATCATTATCAGATAATGCATAATAATTTTTAAAGGATGGTTACACCTTTTTATCTAGTCTGTATAACTGAAAAATGTTAAGGGCAACCATTCTATTTATTTCCATTCACAAATTGATGATTTTGTAGATGGGGTTACTTCTTCTATGCACACTGCTTGAGACAGCATAGCCCCTTTAAAGATGAAGAACAGTAGTAAAGGGGGCTGCTTGTTTTAATGCATAGCTGCACACTTTTAAGAATTATAATAGGAACCTGGAGAGAGAAAATGGCTGTCCACATGCCTACATGAATCCTACCTAATATGGAAAACAAGTGTGTGAAACAAGAGCAGCATGTTTCTCTTTATTAATGGATGAGAATAAGAATAATCCTAGATTTCTTTTTAACACAGTTGCCAAACTCACATAGAGTCATAGCTCTTTTGAACCATCTGTTCTCCATAATGGTAATTTATGGAAGTCTTTATAAATAATAAAAAAAAAGATAAGATCACTGGCACCACTCTCAATGGCAGATTTGAGTTTGCTAAACCTACGAATTGAAATGGACCCCTGACACCATCTTGTAGCTCACCAACATCGACCATCCAAACAGACATGTATTTTTTAGTGCCTTTATTTGATCATCTAAAGACTCAGTGGATGAATTTTATTTTCGATGGAAATCTATCTGAAAAACATCTGAAGTTTTTGCATGTGTGTACTAAGAATTTCATAAAAGGGGTGCTGTCTAAACATGGCATTTACGAAGCAGGCTTTACCACAAACCTTAAATTGAAAAGTACATTAATGCCATCTGCATGTTATAGAGCTGTAAAGTTAGAGCTGGAAGTGAGATTATTGTGTTGGACTATTTAGCCTGATATCCTGCAAACATGGTAGCACTACAGCTAATATTCGTGTCATCAGCTGTTTTGATAAACGGTTGGTATATGTTGCAGCCATTCAGGCAAGATGTGGCTGTAATTATTTGTTTGTTTATGGAATGGTTGTTTAAAATCTAGGGTTTCCAGGCTACCCTTAAAAAACAGAATTATTCCCTTTTTAAAAGAAATGTCCTGTGCTATGTTTTGCGATGATTAGAAAGATTTGTGCGTATTTCCCATAGCACAAAAAAAAAAAAAAACAATACTGTTGTACACTAAATAAATGAATGACAATAAGCAGCTATGACGTCAACCTGCTCCTGGAGTGTGTTGTGGTCACCTAAAAGCTGTTGAGAAGCATCGATAGCAGCCAATTGGTTAAGATCAAACCTAATTCTAAGCTTCTTTTAGCCGCCACCTTAACAATGTCTAACTGGCAGTAAGAGTTGGTTGTTGTGGGGGTTGCATGTGGAGGATGGAGATGTGAAAAAAAACAAAAAAAAAAACAGTTCAGCTAAATAGCTTTGCCAATGGAGGGTTGATTAAAGAGGTTTCTGGTGCAGTCTACCTAATCTGAGAGGAATTTTCCTAAACAAATTGCAAATACATGCTCTAGAGGCCTCATTGTTAATGCATTTTTAAATGTAGCAAAATATTGGACCTTTAGAAAGATAAACTCGGATTTGGATGATTACAAGTCATATGCATGACTGTATGTTGACATAATGATTTTATTTCTTTTAATTTCAAATCATATTTTAGTTATTGTTTATTTTTCAAATGTTTCAATGTTTTCAAAATCCAATTTAATGTGAAGCACACCATAACTGCTACACGAAAAAGGTGCTATATAAATACATTTAACTTACTGTCTCTGCTATTGTTCCATGCATATGTCTTTCTAAAACTTCTTTTATTATTGAATATTTATTTTTTTTGCAGCTTAAATCTAGAGATGCTAACACACTGACAGTTGGGCATGTATTCACAGCACAACATGATGGAAAAGTTATTTGATTAAATATTAAATAACCCAATTGCCTACAATTACACAGCAGATATTATGGTGTCCGGCGGGTGGGCATTGAATACATTTGTGTCCATTGCCTGGAACACAGATCTCTGTTTGTAGCTTCTCCACCCAGGTCTTTTTAGTGACTCCTGTTTCCTCTTCCTTCAGTTGCAGACAATGTGGTCATCAAGAGACCACCACTCCCATTTGAGGAGATCTGGCTGATACATTTACTTTTCTCTTCAGGTCTGGAGGTTCAAAGCAATGCCTGGCTTCAAAGTACAGGGGGTCTGACCGAGCCCTCCAGTCAATGACCAGCTCACACCTTTAATTTGAAATCATCTCAGGCCATGTGATCACAAGCTGATTCCTTATTACAAATTACTCATCAACATTTCTGAGCTCATATTTCTCCAGTGCCTATTGCCACAGGCAATGTGCCGTTCATACAACTGCCTCTGTGCTGCTTCCAATACCAGAGTCTGAATCTTGTTTCCTTAGAGCAGCACAACCTGTTCCTTGCATCGTCAGAGTGTTTTTGGAAGGGAAATATAAGCTTTCATGAAACTCTCCCTAGCTCTGCAGAAGGATTTTCTGGCTTCCACGCTATTATTGCAAGCTCAATTGACCATTTCCCTGTCATCCAATCTGTTTACCAGGGTTCCTTTAAGCATCCTGTGAAGCAGTCTCCAGAAGTCCTCAATGGGTTTTACAGGCATCGCAGCCTCCTGACCAGGTTCACTGTGAAGACTCCTCCTGTTCCCCTACCCCCATCTCCTCTGTTTTTTTCAGACTCAGAAAGGCTTCTAATGTGGACGCTACCAATTCACTAGCCTACCCGCAGACCTCTATCACTGGTTGTGGGGTCCAGACCTGCTTCACAAGCCACCTGACAGAGATGTATTCAGTACTTGTGCTAGAACTATTGCATTTCCTGAGAAAACATTAAAAGTGTTTAATGTCCTTTTACGAAGAAATAAATTATTTAACTGTTACTGATAATTTCAAAAGCTTTCTACTAGGTGAAGGAAAGAAGAAAGTCAATTTTTCATTTCATTTGAAAATCGAGGTTTCACAATCTGGAGAAAAGAGTAGTGAGAAAATGATTTGAAGGTTGCTTGAAATACAGAGTAAGCTTCAAGTTATTTACAATTTGGGATAATTAGTCATCTGTTGATGTTGGTTCATTGTGCTCTATCAATTCTAAAATCAGTGGAGCCCTCTACCAGGGTAGGATAGCATTCATGCTTTCTTCTGCTGTAGTTGAAGCAAATAATGTTTTCTTTTTACTGCAAGAATATCCACCTTCTGATATTGTGAAATGAACCACAACCTGCTTTAATATCCATATTATGACTGTAATAGATTGGCTAACAAACTCACCTGTCCTGAACCTTAAAGGAAAACGACAGACTATTGCCAAAATTAAGATCTGTGACACCAGACCCAACATTACAAATGAGATGAAAGCCTTTGTTAATCATCCCAGCAACCTAGATTGGTCTGGCTATGAATATGAAATAATTGAATAAAATTTCAATGATATTCTATAAACTGTGACAGACCAGCAACTTGTCCTGGGTAAAGACTGCCTTTGCCCTTTGACAAATCAAATAGGCACCAACAATCTAGGGACCCTGAAAAGATAAAGAACCATGAACCAAAAGGTTGGTTTGATATTAATGGTAAGTCCATTGTTTCAGAAGTGTAAGCTATTGGTTGAATGGAAGTAAATCTGCAAAACTATTTCTTCCCCCATTATTGTAAATAATGAATAAGGGCTATCAAGTATTGTACAAGTAATATTAACAACAAGACTGCAATATACAACAAAACTGAAAGAAAATTGACGATCATTTGAAACACATTTTTTATATTGTTAAACATCTCGATTCTATTCTCATTTGTTCAACTCTCAAATGGGTCCCTGTAAATTAAATACATAAATAAATGAATAAAATATTTAAAATCAGGCTTTCTTTTGTCATCTCAAAAATAGATAAAATTGACAATAAAGTATTTCTACTCAGACAGATGCTCACAGAAATTAGCTTACACATTAAATTGTTTTAACACATTTCAGATTTTGGGTTTCTAAAAAGGCATTACGTTGGTGTTAAATAATGATATAAAACCAAAGAAATGAATACCTGCTTCCACAGCTTTCACAGTGATGTTGTGCCAGCCTGCTGTCTCTCGGTCCAAAATTTTTCCTAATGTAATGGCACCTGAATCAGCATCAATGTGGAAGATCATGTCCTGGTCTGATGTTGGATCAATAGAAAACCTGATGCAGAAACAAACACAGAGTTACAGATAGGTATGCAGAAATATAAAACATTAGCATGAAAGTTCACTACATATATGCTGATGAAGATTCTCCATCATTCAGGTAAGTCATTCCAGAAAAGTTAAAAAACAAACCACTGGACTTCCTTTTCCAAGTTTGAAGATGCATCGCTTCCCATCCAGAATTGAGAAAGCTTCCTGGATGTGAAGCGATGCATCTTCAAACTTGGAAAAGGAAGTCCAGTGGTTTGTTTTTTAAACTTTTTAACTTTTTTGGAATGCAATACATTTGGTTTTCCTTTAATTGTACATAATGCCTTGGAATTTCCTAGAAAATGAGTCAATCTACAGTTATACAAGGCTGTGTCTTTCAACTTCTTGTGGTTTTCCTGGTCCAACACACATAATGCACAGTTGTCTGCTAATGACATAACTGTTTCATTCAGGTTTGCTGAAGCAGATACACATCTAAGGCTGGCTTCACACTTACAATATCTGCTCCATCATCAATAGCAAAATGTGCTTTGCAGCATTCCACACTAAATGCATGTATATAAGAAAGACAGACCCACCTCTTATTTTGACATTTTCTGGATCTGCTTTACTCTTTCAGTATCCAACTTTATGTCTGACTCATCTGGGTCTATATAAATTGACTAGTTTTGCTCCGTCAACCGTGGAGAATGGACTCAATCTGTAATTCTGAAGTAAATATTTGACTAGATAGCTTTTTTTGATGGAACAGAAAATGCACGGATGAAGGAGTCTGTGTCAATGAGGGGTAGAGGTTGCAGGAAACCAGCACTTGAGGACAAGAATTTCAATACTGATGGCTTAAAGGAAAGGTAATGATTTTGTGGTACCAATTTTATCCTGCTCAAACCTGGTTTGCTAAATTATTCTGTCCTGCAAACCCAATAAAGACTAAAACAACTAAATTTAATAAATATCCATACAGAATAAAGTAAATATGATTAATATTTTGTTGCTCTGTTTCAGTGAAAATATCTTAAATAATAATGAAATGTAGGACCACTAGCTAAAATATTAGCCTAAATTCAGAAGATTTGTAAAAAAAAAAAAAACAGTTTTAAATGCAATGTTGATAGTGTCACAACATGCTTGAAAGCATTTAATGACACTTTCTAAAAAAAGACAGTGACGGGAAAGTATAAAAGTTTCATCGCACTCTCTGGTAAAACCGTAAATGGATTTTTCCTTCTATGGAGCACTGGCTGCTCTCTCAACACTGGCAAGTAAACAGAAATGCACTGAAAGGTTCCTTTGTTCTTATCCCTTCTCCCTGGCCACACACACAGACTCACAAACACAAACCAGACAAAGACGTACACATGCAGATGGCTGTCTTCAGCTCCCATAAACCAAAAAAGAAAAAGAAAAAAAGAAACTATGGGCTCTATTAGCTCTTATGTTTTCTGACAAATCTGCAAGTAGCATTCTCTTGGTCATACTTGAGGTGAGGATAGTTTTTGTGGATATGAAAGGAAATGTATGGTAACCCACAGTGGGATAAAAACAAGAACTTTGTTTCTTAACTAGTTCATAAAATATTAAGGTCTAAGGGAATCATTTAATTTTTGTACTTTATTCATATACTATATTAATTGTAACTAAATGAAACAGAGAATCTTAAATTAGAATAGCTGCTTTCGGCCAAGTTTTTTCCTTTCCTTTACACAAGAATTATTTTCTATGTTAATAGTTCATTAATCTATGGTTAGGATTACTGTAAATGCAACCAAATGTATCTCTGTGATTTGTCTTTTTAGACAATTAAGTTCCCTCTGCCACATTTAAAACTCTCTAAAATCACAAAATGACGAATAAACAATAATAAAGCGTTAGCAATATAAAATGACTGAACCAATCATGTTTTCCTTTTGTTTTCCCATAACGGGAATCGTCTTTTCGTCCGATCATGCAATAAGAGTTCAAATGGCAAGCACATGAATCATCTTGGAAAAACCTGGTAGTTGATCTTAATAACATATTGATTAGTGATTACAATTGCAAACGTAAACGTTTTTCAGCTTCAATCCAATGAAATGTACTGTACATTTGGAGAATGTCAGTGTGTGTTTTATCACATGGGGAAAGTGCCAACATTGTATTCTAACGGTCTGGAGCAAAAGTGACCTGCTTTTTTAACGAGGGGCCCTTTTTAAAAAAAAAAAAAAAGAAAAAAAAAAAAGAACTCCCTTACTGTCTTTATATTAGGCAAGAGGTTAGATAGTTTTGACCAGAAGAGCAAGATTTTAATACCCACTGTTCAGAGCTTTCTATTTTTAAGCTTTCTGTCACTCCAATAGTATTTGATATTTTTCTTAAAATAAAATACCTTTGTGCAACCTTTTTTTTTTTTCCTTTTCAGACAATGTAGTCTTGTGGTCACATGATTGAGTTGAGTATGAAGGTGGTGGCTGCCTAACACCAAACTGGAGATAATGCAATTTACAAACCTCCCTTGTGAGTTAATTTATAATTTACTGTTCCTTTTATCCAACACATCAACTCACCAGTGTACTCAACAACAACCCTTATACATTTAGCTGGAGGCACTTTAGGCAGTGTTGCTATCGGGTTGTGCTCTAGTACACATAGAACAATGGGTGTCATGCATTTTTAATCAAGAGGATGTTCCCTGTGTGATGGTTTATTTTTTTGGGAAGATTCCCATACAGCCCTTTCCACAGCCTCTCCTCACTTTACAATTTTATTTCAAAGGACATAGAATCCAAAGATGTGGAACTTGTTTACTTTCTGCAATCGGCCAAGAAACTTAATTCCTATTTTGTCCTTGTATATTACCAGGAATAATTAAAATTGTGTTTGCCTTTTCATAAATCAAGTATCTCTGTATGCCAGCTAATGAATGACACTACTTTAAATTGAAGCTATACCCTTTTCAGCAAGTACTATAATATCTAACATGATAATGATAACAATTCACTTTATTTAAAGGAGCATAGCACAAGTTCAAGAGTTATTGTAGAAGTTTGCACCCTCATGCGACAAGTTGAAATTGCATGAGTGCTGTGTACACGCATTGGAGAACAGAGAAAACCGTGCAGTCTGCCAGTACAACTGCACAGGCCTTTTGTTTAAAGATATTAAATAATCTGGGTCGAAGTTATACATACTGAAGTTATTTTGATTTGAATGTTATACCTTCTTAGCAGAAAGAGTGCCATTCCCAAGGCAGATCTGAGCTCCCTCCTGGTAAAAAGCTTCCCCAATATTTACCATCTGTCATGATCTTGGGACTGATGGCTGGCTTAATTGCTCATTCCATTCACCTGTCTAACTCTGCCCGGTTGCTCATTACCGCTCATCTGTTCAACCTGCTTCTGCCTCTGTTTAATGTACTTGCATCCAGCTCTCAGGGCCAGATTATCTTTTTTCTCATTCTCACTGGCTAGTGGTGAGAGGATATTTTAGTGTATCATAGTGTTTCCGATTTCCTGATCCTGACCTGATCTGCCACTCATCCAATGAGCGTCCCTGTTCCTGTCTGATCTCAGTGGAGAAAGTGTTTTTTAGCGTGCCATATTGTTTCTGATTTCCTGATCCTGACCTGTTCTGCCTCTCAACCACTGAGTGTGCCTGTTCCAGATTAATGACTCCGTCAGATTATCATAGTTACTAACCTGTGTTTTTCTCCAACTGAGATACAGTGATAGACGCTCTAGCCGCCGATACCATCAATCCACAGCCGTTTTTAAATAAACACTTTGAATCATCCCACTCTCTGTCTTGCTTTGAATACTGGGTCCTTCTGTCCTGTGTCTTGACAACTTTGTTTTGATCTATCGCAGGACAGACTTATCTGGTTCTTTTTGTCATGCAAGAAAAAAACGTTTTTTTTGTATTTGAGTGGAGTATGCGATGGAGTTTGAGATGCACTTGTGGTTGGTCTTTTTTTTACCCATCTTTAGAAAGCTTTTCCCCTGTTATCTCACTGTAGCTGTCATTTAACATAGCCAAGTGAATAAGAGTGCAAAGCACATCAAACCCACATACACAACCAGAAATTCAACCCAAATCACTCTCTCATGCACTGACTAAAATGCACTATATAGAGGCAACAAGCATTAAATATAGGAAAGCTCTTTTTTATGTTGGGTAATTGTAAGGGCATTTATGGGAAAAAATAAAAAATTCAAACTTAAGCAATGCAACTTTAAAGGGGGATAGTGTACAGCACAAACATATCAACCTCTGTAGTCTCTTATGACTTATTGAGATGTGTAGTATGTGTCACACTTTTATTTCTATCAAAACTAAGTTCCAGAAAAGGTAATGTGCGATTCTTAGTATGGTTGTTCTGGGTGAATTTTGTACTTATTTTGTATTCTAAGTACTTGGAATTCAGATTTTTTTCAAGGTGAAAGTTTAAAGATACAATAATTAGATGGAATCTCGAGTGTGAAAAAACTATGTCAATAAAATTGAAGTGAACCGTTAACGAGTCTAAAATGTTCTTGTACATTGCCAACCCTTTAGGTATGAATATAGGCAGAATTCTTCAAACTATGAAATATCAAATTATTTACCACTGTTGAAATTTGCATCATCACTTCCATACCTTACAGGTTTGTTTGCCACATCTGGATCCCTGGCTGTGACAATACCAACGAGTGATCCGACTTTAGCATCTTCCTGGACTTCCATGACAGCACCTTCTGCCGGTTGAAAGATTGGTGGCTCATCAATATCCGACACACTGACCCGAACAATTGTCTGATCTCGGAATGATCCCAGGTCAACAAAGCGAGGATCAACATGTTTATTTACAGCCTCTACGACAACATTGTGGGTCCTCTTGCTCTCAAAGTCCAATGGCTGAAAAAGAACCAAATTACATAAATAGGGTAAATGGCTACATATATCATTTAGAGTAAAATATTCTGAAAATGCCCTTTTGCATTTTTTGACACCTTGTGTTAAGAGGTGTAAAAAGCCTTAAAACCAATGAATGTCTAATTGCAGTAATATGTTCATTTACTGTCTGATAAACTGTACTAAATGAAATTTTGTTTTGTATACACTCCATGTATACAGAATTGCAATAAAAGTTGTCTAAGTCAAAAGCCAAAATCATTCTTAATAAAACAAACCTTTGCTTCAAACAAATTTATTCATTTTAAATAAGTCATTATTAACAACTTGATTGAACACAAAATCATTGATAGTCCAGCTGTCAACACTGTTTTAGTCAATAAGACACCAACAAGTCAGCTATACTGTAACATTTTTGGAGATACAAAGAGAAGGATTGTTTATTATTTTTCATGATGCATTGAACACATCACATAATTCAGTGTTTTAGGACATCCAGTCTCAGATTTCATGAAAAAAGTTGTCAGGTCTTCAGGAGAAACTCATCAGGATTTAGGTTTTTTGGGAATGGCTTAGGTTCTTTTTTATTCAGTGAAATCTTGACCAACGCAGCAGATATTTGACATCTAACATCCCTTCATTTCTTGTGATTCATTGCACGTCAAATTTTGTTAAATTCTGACAACAATAAAGGTAAACAATGGCAAAAATTGAGATTAAAAACGGATGTATTACACTATGCACTAAAATAAACTGTAGATGCTTTAGCAGAAAATGTAACTTTGATAAACTCAAACGTTTGCTTGGTTCGTCAAGATTTTACAGAATAAAAAAAATAATAATCTGTTTGCGGATACGTGAGACGGTGTCACGTATCCGCAAACAAAATATTATTATTTTAGGTCTCACTGAGACCTAAAACTGTATTCCTAAGACGTGAGAATTGTTTATTTTCAAGACAACTATTTGTACAGAAACTTCACTTTTTTTTTTGAGAGCTGGCAACATTTTTCATAAACTTAGACATGAGGGCTTTTTTTAGTTTAATTTTTTTGTTTTAAAACCTTCTAAGATTTCCTGAGACCAGAGGATGTCCTAAACTGTCCTAAACTCATATTTGATAATTTCACAGTAAACAAACACGTGTATCCCAGCATGAAGGTGCTATAATGCTTAAATGTCAACCCTGCACAATTTGCATGGATATACAGTCTCTGAGAAAAAATTAGGTACACTGACTTCTATCTTTATAACCAATGGGGAATTAGTTGTAAGTCTACATATAATCACAAATTGTATGGAAATATTTTATGAAGGTTACTTGGTGTTGGTTTAACCCTAAGTTAATAATTTACAATGAAAAGCAAGGCAATGATGTACAGAAATAGAAATGATCATTTATTGAACTTTATTGATCTCACATTTAAGATTTTTAACTCTGCATTTAACCCATCCCCTTGGGGAGTAGTAGGCTGCCATTGTGCGGCGCCCGGGGAGAAATCGGGGGTTAAGTGTCTTGCTCAGGAACCCAGAGTGGAGGGATTGGAATTCAAACCGGGTACTTGACACCTTCTAACAGTACGAGCACACTGTTTTAACCCACTAGACCAACACTCCCCCTGACTTTAACAAAACAATGTGATTTAGAATCTGTAGTTTTAAGTATACATGGACTATGTTTTACTGCAGTGGTCAACTGTTCTGGAGATATAGAACTTAATATTTAATAAAACTACTTATGGTAGTTTTTCAAAACGCTGTTTAGCATTGCAACACAACAAAGACTATTTTTCAAGAAAAACATAATCGTATCTCATCTAAACTTGCAGTTTATATTAAAAAACACATAGTTTAGAAAACCTTACTGTAAACCTTTGCATACACTTCTTAAAGATGAGCTAACACCCTTTTTTGTTTTTTCAGTGTCACAATCACTGGATCCATCTTCAGCCAATTGTCAGTTGCTATACCTTTACATTACCACCCAGCTAGGATATTGAAAATATAATCAGTTGCAGCTTTACTGGAACACCACTGTCAGCATCCTCACTAAAACAAAGAAAGAAGAGCAGAAACTGGGATGATGGGTGCATCGTCCCAGTTCTCAAATTCGGACAAACTTCTATGTATCTCAGAGTTGATGTTAAAATGTTTCTCTACTTTAAGTTTCTAAATCACAGAATAGCTTAGCACTAAAATATGTTCATGTTTTATTTCCAAATCATACAATTCTTCTGGGTAAAATCCGGTTGAAGTCAAAACCAAAAAGCAGGAATCATGCTCTTCATGCTCCACTAATCTTGAACAAAGTTGCAGACTTTTTTTAGATGATTTCTTTTTATATCAATGTTGAAACCTATTTGTTCAAATGTGTCTTTGACTATTGTATTTAAACTATTTACTGAAATATTATTCATTTTTGTAAAGAGTTTAACTCTTCTTTACCCTCCTTTATGCCACTGAAACAAAAACTTCTGAACATGGAGAAAAAATGTTACATTTTACTTTTAATGTTGGAAAAAAGTGATAATAAGTACCGTAATACAAAAATATACCTCTGTTTTAACGCATTTTCCCATCTTCATTTAGCCAGTGTTATAATTTACAGACAGATTAAGAAAGATTCCTACATCCTTGCTGGCACTGGGTGAGTTGAATGGTAAAAATTCTGTTACTACCCCTCTTAAGCTATTTGACCATTGCTTGTACTGCAGTTCATTTTTCCCTTCAGGTACTGCTCCCTGAAAAATCGCTGATCTTGTTCAAAGTTAATGGTTTTATAGCAAAAAGAAAACCCTGAAGTGAACATTTAATACCAATTATAACTGGTATTGTTCCATAATATATTGAATGCTGTCTAGGCTACTGTCCTGATTTGCAGTTATCTATTATCCTTTCGAGCAATAATTAGTTTATATTGATTTGTTTTAGGAAGTTGCTTTTATTTTATTAATATGAGGAAAATGTGTACAGTGTATATCATTAATGTCTTTAACTTATAAACAAAATTTTAAAGCAATTTGGTGCTTGTTAGCATTTACATCTAATGGCTAATAACCTTACTTCATCTATTTCCAGTGCTACAATTTTCTCACAAATATTACGTATTTTAATTAAAAAAGATACACCAGAGGTGAATTGATAGCAGACCCTGAAAAAAACAACAATCCGATTGGATAAAAATGAACCTTTGGTCCTGTTATATATTGTGTGTAACACACATTACAAGAAATCATGTACAATAATAAATAATTAATACATTGTTTATTTGGATCACATGTCTTGCAATTCCTTATTTATTTATGGCAAAATTCAGACAGTTTCTCTAAAAAGGAAAGTGGTATCAGTAAGCAGATAACACCGCAGTAGAACTGCTCTAATTCAGTTGTACCTTTTTAATGGAGACGACAGCTTCCTGTGTCTCCACATCTGTGGTGACCTTGAAAAGATCTCCTCCCTCTTTGATCAGATAGCTCATATCTGTGTTGTCTCCCATGTCTGCATCTGTAGCAATGACGCATCCAACCGGTGTCGCCACAGCTGCCCCTTCTGACACCGAAAACTGGTACATCTCTAGTAAATTGAGGAGGTGGCCGGAGGGAGAAAGCATGGACAGTTCAAACAAGCCATTGAAAGATGGAGTTATATAAAACACCACATAGAAGTGAAAGGGGAAAATATCACAGAGATGAAGAGAAAAGCACCAGGATAAGGAGAGTTAGATGTCCATAGTATTACAATAGGAAGTAGTGGAGGGGGTTAAATAATTCTACATGCACAAGGAACATAACTAAAAAAGGAAATAAGATCATGAAAAAGAATGTATCAAGCATTCATTTTAAATAACATCCAACTTAATCCTATACTAAATTTAAGCATTTTCCCTATATCTGCTGTTAGATATCATTTTGGAGCGAAAAGCTTTATACATTTGCAAGACTAAACCCAATGGCCTTCTTGAAATGACAGAAGCGGGATAGAAAAATGTGTAGGATCTACCATAAATCATTATCAACTAGATAAACAGCATGAAGATGAAACGCTATTGTTACAGGAACAGAAATGTGTGATTATGTCCTTATATACACCATATGTCATCCTCTTACGTGACTGATTTATAGAACACTATGCCAGATTCTGTGTCCCAACATCCTGCAGTGGAGGTACTATAATTCTGCAGGGCTTATCACTCTGGCTGAGTAAATATGATTTACTGAGATGAAAAAGAGATTCGTACACAAATATGAAAAGGTGTGTGGAAACATATCACTCACTGTCAAAAACACTGCTTGCACACTGGCTTAATCAAATGTACTACTGTTTATAAGGTTACAGTGTTACTTTATCATCAAAACACACAGAAAGAGCTAAAATAGGTACCATAAATTAAATAAAAATTTCTTTGTCCTCAAAGACTTGGCATTGAAGATGACATATGTATATTAGATAACTGTAATGCTTCTACAAAAATGCAATATATGAGACTGTGACATCTAATCAGACATCAGTTTTATAGGCATTTTATGTCCAAATTAATCACAAAAAACGTGTAGTTTTTAAGCATGGGGTACATAGATTTTTTTTAAATTTTGTTCAGAAATAAAGTAGTCACTCCCTTTGATATGATAAGTCAGACAAAATTCAGTGCATAAGGAATCTGTTAAAAGTAGAAATATAATTTGCATCCTCTAAATACAGCTAATCCCTAAATTATTCATAGAAAAGCAAACCTTTGATTACTCCATCATTTGTCATCTGACTGGAAATAATAATGTTTTGGAGAGTTTGCCAAAAGGCTTGTACTGTAGGAGATAAAAACAATAACTTTTGAAAATGGCTTCTGGTCAGATGAGACCACAAGGCCAACATGATGAAAGCTATGTGGAGAAAAAACTAACACTGCTCTAAATTCTGAACACACACTCCCAAATCATGAGGACAAATTTTGGATTTTATAGTCTCACAAAAAAGGAAACTGTTCAATGAGTATTTCTCAGGGTCTTCTACGTGCTTTGCCTAAAAATTATTTCAAACTGACAGTGACTCGGGTCAGTTCCCCATATTTCATAGACTGCTTTGTTGTGGGATAGAATAGTCTGTAATATTAATTTAAGAGATTTTCTTTGGTTGTTTGAAGGCCACTTATGAAGCTACCTATCGGTGTCTATTACCTGCAGGTTTGAATGTTATTTGTCTTTTTATTCTGCTCTTGTTTCTCTCTTCACTCAGCCATTTCCAACTGCTTTCTTTTCTCCACCTACGTGACCATCACTTTTTAAGTCTAAAGTAAGAGAATGTGCGAGAAACACTCACTCTGTGGAAAGCGTGGTGGGTTGTCATTAACGTCTGTGATAACTATGGTCACCGTGGTGGAGCCTGAGAGACCACCCATTTGGCCAGCCATGTCTGTTGCCTTGACAACCAACTCATAACGATCCTGTGTCTCCCGGTCTAAATCCGCAACTGCTGTCATGATTATTCCTAATGATCGAGAGAGTTTGAAAACAAAAGGGAGAGAAGAAGTTAGTCGGCGAGGCCATGAGAGGTTACAGCACTTGTTAGGTTAAGCAATATCATATTACATTTACTCTGTTAATCTAAATAACAGCTTCTGATCACTTTCTAATTTAAGGAAAAAAGGGGGAAATCTTTGGAAATTAAAAGACTGAGAAACCAACATTTGTGCCTTTGTAGAAGAGAAAGTGTCTGTGTCTCACAAAATAAAAGTGATTTAATTTTATACTGTTTGTAAACCTCTGCTTAAAGATATAAAGCACCATTCATCATACAAAACTCGTCTTCCCTCTCTGTGTTAATCCAAGTTAGAAGTAATGAAAACTTGGCAGAGTATATGCTTTTGATAACTCAACCTGAATAAACATTGACACTTCAAAGGTAGACAGAGGTAAAGGGTAAACAGAGATTTTTGTGATGTATCTAGACCTCCTCCCGGAAGGTGCAATAAGGTTAAGCATATGTTAAAAAAAAAGTATTATGTGCTGAAAATTACTGGTTGTTAAAACAGTGGTGATAATATTTTTAAATGAAAATTTAAAAGGTTCAACCTAGAATATGAACATCAAGAGGAGTCCCATTTTTTCCAGAATGTGCCTTTAATCTTGCATTGTTTCTGAAGCAACAAACCTCTGCTGGCTGTGAGGCTGGGTTGCTTTCCAGAACCAATAAGACAATCTCTGCTCATTTGACCTGCTCAGCAAAGTATTAACCCAGGAATTCCATTAACAATTCTCCACATCCTGTTTAAAAAATTAAATGGACAAAAATTAATGGATGAAGGGATTATTAAATAGAGTGTTCACTAAATCCTCATCCTTGTCACTATACAAATGTGTATAATTTTTCATGCTTGAAAGAGTCTGGGACTTAAACTCATATTTCAAACATCTCAAGAGGCTTCTATCATCCTTAAGCAGAATATATATATATATATATATATATATATATATATATATATATATATATATATATATATATATATATATATATATATATATATATATATATATATATATATATATATATATATATATATATATATATATATATATATATATATAAATTATTACCAGAGACCAAGACTCAAACTCACTGCGGATCCAGACATTTGAATTGAGAAAGCTTCCTGGAGAGGTGGCGAAACGTCTTCAAATCTTGGAAACCAAGTCCAGTGGATATTTTTTTGAATTTTTACGGAATTAATATAAACTTATTTATGGACCGGAAATACTTTGGTGAATTTTGTACTGTGCATGTGTGGATCTTGTGTGCTTGCGTGAATCGTTCTGTGCATGTGTGGATCCTGTTCTGTGCATGTCTGATTCACATATTTGTATTTGTGAAAATTGAGACTGATCTACCGCTATAGATCTCTATCCCCTAACAAAGATCTAGGACATCAATTCCTTAAAAAAATTAAATAAGAAAATCCCTAAGGGAAAGCCAATTAATTAACTACTTTTTTCATTAAAATAATGCTTGTTTAAATGGTAAATATATATTTTTTTTCTTCGGTAAAAAATAGCATTTGATCTAAATTTAAAAAACTCAACTGCAAGTATTCTCAACTTGACAATCTTGGTCCGAGATTAAAAAAGTTTAAAAAAGCACCACTAAGCCGGAACCCTTAATGGTTATGGAAAAGCATCTTTTAAAGAAAAGTGCAATGCACTTTAAAAAAGTATATTAAGATCCAGCTATTATGATTTATTGGTGGTTGACTTACATTTTGTTTTAAGTCGGTGTGCAACTTTTTTTTTTCTTTTTATAGTACAGCACCTGCACAATTCCTCTTAACAAGTAAGACTAATGGAGCAGACATGGTGTCTCAAGTGGTTATTTTCCATTTTCCCCCAATTTCTCATTGAAATTTAGTATACGGCGCCGGGATATGTGACACAGCTTGAATTTATTTATTTTTAAACATGTTTGTGAGCTACTTCTTTTCATTTTTGGGCATTTCATTATTAATATGAAAGCTGTTTCACCCTTGTGTGGATTGTAAAAAATTATTCATAAATCAGTCTATAAAAGTATGAACAAACTGCTGTGCAAGTAATTCAGTTTTTCTGTAAATTTGAGCTGCTGTTTGTGGTATTTGTAGGAATTAGATCACTTAAGCCATAAGAATTAGGGTGAGGTGTGAAAATGTGAGATTTTTAACTTAACTACATTTTGCTGAGTAGAAATGTGCATGTGGACCCTCCTCATGTAAATCTTATTTATTAAATGTTATTTTTAGAATCAGAATACACTTGAGCTGCCAGCTGTAAAAGCCAGTGGTTCTTGCATGCTCCTTTTTAATCACACTACACAGTTGAGAGCATATGTGAGAAACATGAGGCAAAACAAACCAGCAGTATAAATATGCAAAAACCTAAGTTTCTGAGGCTCATTATTTTAATAGTGTTATAACTCTTTACAACTAAAATACATTTTTTGGCCCTAAACTGTGCCTACATAAATGCTAAAGCATTTAAGCTCCTCTGCAGACAGGCTCAATGTGAGACCATGTCACGTTTGGCCTGCTGCCCCTACTGTATTTTATGGTTTAGTTGCAATAAAATTAATAATATATAGGGCCAGAATAAAAGCATGCCAAAGCCATCCTGAACAGCATTAAAACCTGCCTGTGGTGGTAAGAGCACAATCATGCCTGAAAAGTTAATAGAAAAAGCATGTAGGAAATATAGAGCTAGAAATTTAGAGCTTTGTAATAGCAGGAAAGCATTTAAAATCAGCCTGTATGGATGTGGTAGTAACAGTGATGTGGTAGTGAGAACTGACTCCTGAAAAAGGTTGGATCTCTGCTGGTTCATTTCAATAAGGAATTTGCATGTTCTCCTTGTGCATGCGTGGGTTTTCTCAGGATATTTCTCCTCCCACAGTCCAACAACATAAGAGCTAACTTGAGTTTTTAAATTGACCTATACTGTGGTTATGTATGTATAGTTGATGACATCTGTGTGTCTGTGTTTAACCCGTGGCAGACCCACTGCATCTCATTACTTTAACTTATACCTCCAAGGTTGACAGGTGTAGAGAATATATATATATATATATATATATATATATATATATATATATATATATATATATATATATATATATATATATATATATATATATATATATATATATATATATATATATATATATATATATATATATATTTACAGCCCTTCTTAGCACAATGAAAGAAGAAATAATCACTTCTTTTATATATTCAGCTTTCTAATCTCATTAGAGAAATTGAGGGTCTAATCCCATGTTCTTACAGCTGTTCTGCAATTTGGACGTTTATAGCCAATATAAAAATTGAAAAGAGGCAGTTTTAAGACTGAGATGTCAGCTTCCCTTTTATGGCAGTCAAAGTGACATTATTTTGGCCTTTGTCTGCATAGAAAGTGAGGATTCATACATAGTGTACTGCTGCACGTACATTTTCATAGGTAGTTCCATTTTGCTTTGATGTTACAATGCACAAATGTGATGTACACAAAAAACCGAAACAGCTGGTTTATTCTTATTTAAAATAAAAATACAAAAATAACAGAGCCTCTTATTTGAAAAACAAAAGTTTCATAAAGTAATCCTTGTCTTTCCAACATAATAGGGACAGCCAGCAACAGACAGCCTGCTATTATTTTTTAATTGATCATCTATTTTTATTGTGAATTCTGCAAGTCTACTCTTCATATTTACCTTCCTTTTACCGTTACCCTGTCACTTAACAGCCAGGAACATTCTAGTCATATCTAATCTATGTACACAATGTTCTTCGGAGTTTGGAGATATGATAGTTTGATACTACCAATGATAGAACAAGGAACTGGAACAAACCATCCAATCTCCCCGCTTATCCCACCAAGGTAGAGTAATTTATCATCCAGGCACCCAGGTGGACCAAATCAAAGCAGTGAACCCCCAAAAAAGGAATCATTAAGACTCCAATGTTTTCCCCTTGGGATGGTATACCAACGGAACACCATTGCAAAGGTTCAACTGCAAGTCTGTGTAGGCCATGTTATAATGTTCTATAAGCTCTGTGCCTCCAGGGAAATGGTTGGTTCTTCATATATAGGTGTGAGGAAATGTATTATCAGCTCAATATGAATGCAGAAATATGGTCAGCAATATAAAACACCACATTTATGTGTTTTACATTATGCAATTTTACTTTTTCTGCTGTTCTTTTTTTATGTTATTCTTTAGTTGATATCCTGATTTCTAAAATATTTTTCTTTAATCTGTAGTGTTCTATTTGTAGCAGATAATTTTATTGGGAGCTTTAGGATAATACAACTTGTCATTTACTTAGGCGGTTGGGCAAAAAATAGTTTTTAAAGGCACAACTTTAAGACAAAATCTCAATGCATATCATATGTTTAAAATGAAGAGGTAATGAAAAAGTCAAAAAAGTGAAATAAAGAAATGTACTGTAATGTATAGTTTGTTTGTTTTTTACTATATCAGTTGCAGTCCTGTCAGTGTTTATTTCTGACCCTCTTTATCATACTCTTTTCTTTGATTTTTACTTTTTGCAGCTACGGTAATCATATATATTTGAACGCATCGATAAATGCCTATCACAACTATGCCTATGAAATTGAAATGATAACAAGAATTTATTTGTTTGAATTTGGATTTTAAATCTGAAGAAGATAACAGTTTTTGGGAAAATATGTACCTAAGAGTCTTGGATGGAGAGAAAAGAAACACCGACTCCCAACTTTCAAACCTGGAGATCCTGAAACTGTTAAAGGTACATTTTCTTTTTATAACTTTTAGCTCGTTATTAAGTTCAACCAACCAAATATCTAAAGCAGAGCACAGAAGAGTTTATATCACACTTAATGGGGCATACACTTTTAAAGGGGGCTAAACATTGAAATCCTCAAACAAATTTCATTACATGTAAGGAAACATCAATATGATTTTTGGCAACTGTGAAATAACCATTTGTTTTGTTTTGGGGTTTTTTTTTTGTCATCAGTGTGTTCTACTGTGTTTTTTCTTTTTTTGTGGGTGTGACATATAAACTGACTATTCATTTGGAAAGTAAGTTATACCAACACTGTAAAATAATGCAAGACCAATTGAAATTATGGTTTATGTAATTATATTCTCCATTTTGATTGGTAAAGAGATGTCCTAAAAGACCAGGCAGCAAATTATATAACTTTTAGTTTCTTTAGATTTCTCTTACCTGTATGTCTATCAACGGTGAAAAACTTTTCTCCATCAAGTACACTGTACACAACTCTGGCACTACTACCATATGTAGGGTCATCAGCATCTGATGCAGTAACCTTCATGACAGATGTTCCTGTAGAAGAGATAAAACATAAAATAAGAATAAATACAGCAAGGAAAAGTCCAGAGCCAGACTTTCACAGGGGACTAGTCCTGGAATCCCAAGTCAGTGTTGGCCGGAGTCAAAGTTGTTTTAAATTTGACAGAAAAATGAAAGACTGGGAACTTCTGAACTCACAAGTGAAGCATAACTCTTCAGCGTGGACAGAAATGACTAAAGCTTAATTCAGCAAAAGTCAGAAAGGGGGAACCACCAGAGTTAAGCAAATATTGTGAGCTAAAAGGGTAATCTTTTAGCAAAACTGAAAAGTAATATATCGTCAGGTTTGTGCACTTACCAGCATTTGCATTTATACATAGTCTCTACTCTTGTAGAGACTGATGGGGATCCTTAAATAAATGAATAAAAGAAATACATATTTAATATTTTCCAGATTAATACGTAGTTGTGTGGGCTGTGGCAGGAATAAAATACTTCAACCTTTATGCACATAATTTTCCTTATTAGTAAATTAAAATTTCAAATGATCTGTTTTTGTGACCTCAGAAAGTCCCAACATTACTAAGATTTTTTTTCTTTCATTGGTGCAGACTGTCTAACCGAGGACAGGAAACATGGAGTTCTACACTCGACATTACATCTTCAAAGACTCTTACAAGCCTCACAAATTTGGATCAAACAACATCTGATTAATAGCATTTGGACAAAAGACAAAATACAGAACATTTTATTCATGACATAGTGTTGTGGAGTTATATATAAGTCATTCCTTTACACTCTCTATTTTTGTCTCCAGTGTGCAAGAACAAGCCTCTAACCAGATATGCAGGCATATCGTCCCATTTAGTCACACATTTTAGATAAATCTCGGCCTACAGCTTTGAAAACTTTAGGCTCGTAATTAGAAGGGTGAGAAATGACTGCATGTTTGCTTCCCATCTGTGCACATTTGTTTGCCTCTATAAATATATTTGTTAAAATAAAGAGTAAGGTAAAAAGAGGTAAAATGGATGATGTTTGTAGATGTCACAGGTCTTAAAGGACACAGAGTCCGTCTCTGTCTCCAATCATCTGGCAAATGCTATGGGTAATTACTGGCAGCAGGTGTTATCCAATAAAGGTCACCACTGTAGCCCGTCTCACAGCCCTGTCATGCTACTGTCCAGCTACATAATGACCATATGCTAATGATGCTAATTAGCAGGAAGTGTCAGGGCCGTGTTTGTTTCCTGTCATTGAAAGGAGTTCATAAGGGTGGGGCGTGGGGGTGTTAAGGGGAGCGGATTACCATTAAGGTCAAGCAAGCCATTAAGTGGTATGCCTCGGACTTCCATACGAAGATGCCTCTCGGACTGCTCTTTTTTTACCTTACAGTAGTGGGATTAAAGCTGACCAGCTAACATGTTGTCCTGCATAATTTTTTACTGTAAATGCATCTTAAGATTTCAGTTACATTTCGTATTACAGTGCAGAATAAATACATAATACTGCACATAGGTGGGCCAGAAAGAGGTTTTAATTAATTTTGCAAAATGAATAACTTTTTTCATTACCCATTACACACAAGAGAAAGAGCCGAAATCGCTTTGAAATATAAGGATGGAAATAAGAGGCATTAGAGCTGTGAGATTAGTGAGATATTATTCTCTAAAAAAAAATGCGACCATGAAAGGCACATTTTTTTCAAACTCTGAGAAAAAAAAATCATATATTTCCGTCTTTTTTTTATTTTGCTGATTAGCCATGCTGCTGTGAGTGTAGCCATGCCATTTTATTCATGGGATTCCTTGCTTATCTTAAGTCGCCCCAGGTAACACCCAGTTACACATCTAGGTGTTCCTGCACACTGCTGGAAGCAACATCAGATCGTTTGAAAGACCTATAGAAATGCAAATGAATCGTTAATGTGTTTATATTAACTGGAGGAGGAAATGAGATTGCCTCTTGGATATTAATTTACTTTTTGGCTTGCAAGAAAATTTTCTGTGGGAAAAGTCATTACTTAAAGATTCTGCTGGCATCACTGATGCAGATGAAAGTACTGATGAACTTGTGTAAACTCATTTACAAAAGTAAAAATTAAGTATTTAAGTATAATGATCATTTAATATACAGCCAGTAAAGACATTTGTTGTGGATTCACTTTGGAAAGGTTTGTTTTTCTCCAGCCAATGAATCCTAAATTGCTCTTAGAGTAATACTCATTTAGGCTATAGTATAATGACAAAATAAAATAAAACCAAGACAAATATTTCTTTCACCATTTGTTTACACACAGTACCGCTATATGTGTTTTAGTTTTGATATGACAGAATAAAATATGTTAAACGACTATACATCATTGGAAATGTTATATGGATGAATATGACAATGAGTAAATATTGTTTGTATTGTAATTGTATTTCATTAGTGAACAAGAATAAAAGCCTTAACCTGAAGAGGATAATATAGTACACGGTATTACTTGAAAAAGAAAAAAAAAAACAATAAAACAATGGGGTTGGACTTTACTAAATAACCTGGTCACTATTTTTACATTTGTAAAACACACATACATACATGGTCGATCCATTATTTTGAAACATTTTAATGCATATTAACGCAATTAACTGCATACATACAACGATCCCCAGGTGTAGCCTTTGTCCCTGCTGTTTTTCTTGTACTTGCAAATCTGACGCACAATCAGCATCACAGGTGTTTGTCCACTGGGGATATTCAAGCTCAAAAACCCTGATGGCTCACAACAAATATGAGTTTTGAAGCAAAGTGTACTTAGAAAACACCTCAAATCAGTATGGACATCTAAGCACTAGATATCTGATCAGTGGGGGCAGTTAGGAAGGAGCCAGGACCAGGAACAGGGATTATTCATGTCAGTGACTGGCTTAATGACAAGCGGTAGCCGTTTGTCATTAAGCCAGTTTGTCATTATTCCCAGTAGTTTGAACTCAATTGACTAACAGACCAAGAAAAAAAAAAATGTATACATTGAAAATAAAGGATATTGTCCACTTTCTTTTCCGGTTTTTAGTTTGGTATGTTATCATATGTAACAAAAAAAAAAAAACTTTTAACCTTGCTCAGGTCCCTTATAGGGTTTTCTAATGCTTCTTAATTTAGCCACTTGCACACACTCATAAAACAATACTCATCCTTTATAAGGCTATTTACATATTAGGTGCCTTTTGAAAAATAAAAGTATTTCATTAGTATAAAAACTCCAAAAAAAGAATACTTTAGAGATTAGATTTTTTACATGTTTCCCAGTTTTTTTTATTGGTATTTACTTATTTTGAAAAAGCTGTTGTAAAAGAGAATATAATATATTTATATGCCTAATTCCACACCTATCTCACCACACCATGTTTGTTTAACCAAAATTTAACCAAGTGATCCTAAATAATGAAAAAAAAAATCTGACAATTTCACAAAATACATTGCAGTTCTTACTTTTTTGACTACTGAGAAGAATTAATTTAATCTTTTAAACAACAAATGGGCTGCAGTGAATTATGGGGGCTATGTGAAGTAAAGCTTTAGGGTGCAACCTGCAGATATCCACAGTAATTCTGGATGCATCACGAGCATGCTACAAGGTTCAAACAGAAATTCTTATATATGCAACCAATAAAAAAGGGGACCTTTGGACAGCAGATGAAAGCCACTCACAGAGAGTGCAGTAAGAGCAGAGCAAAGATTCATAAAATAAAGCTTTTTAGCTGACAGAACTAACCTCTGCAAAACAAGGGCGCCTGAGTGTGGGACCTTCTTTTAAGGACAAATTAGTAAAACTCTGTCTATTTATAGACAATAAAGTATGACAATTTGAAACAGGAGAAAAAAATGAATATTAACTGGACTGAAACTGTTAAGAAATAATTCACAGTATGATTTTTCTTAGAAATAAATAGTAGTCAGTAGCTACGTTTACATGGACACAACTAATCGGATTGAAGGCCTGATCAGATCAAAAATGTTTCATGTAAACATGTCAGACTGAAGATTCTAATCCGATTCGGTCCGATCGGATCTAAATTTAATTCCGAATGAGAGAGGTGGTTTTTGCCGATCGCCATTCCGATTGGCGTCCATGTAAACACCCATTCGGATCTAAAGAGTAAAATAATCTTCACTGCGCATGTGTGCGACGTCAGCGTGACGTTTTCCGCCTTGTCAACAACAGGAAACCACCGGTCTCTCTCGCTCTCGCTGTGAACAACATGGCGGGAGGAGTCTAGGAACGCCGACTTATACACTCAAGTTCATTTAAAGCTGCAGGAAGCAGGAATTTATCCTCCTCCTCTTCCTCTTTTCTCTCTCCACAGCCCACTCGCTCTCCCACGCCGGTTCAATCGCTCATTCTCTACATTTTCTCTCGGACATTTCGCTGCCAAGCGCTTTTTTCCTCCTCTCTCCTTTTTTCTTTCCGCTCGCTCCGAGCGCATCGTTTGTCAGGCCTCCCAAAAACCAGATGCAGACAGAACTGCCAAGTTTGGCAGGAAGTTCTGCGCATGCTTAAAAGATTTAATCTGATCCAACGCTTGGTACATGTATACACACGTCATGATCGGATCATTTCATTTAGTGTCCATGTAAACGGAGATTTTGAATTTCCGATCAACCAAGGTTTGGATCGGATCGGGGAAATTTTGCGCATGTAAACGTAGCTAGTGTTGCAATACCTCCTTTGTGCCACACCAACGAGAGAACTGCTTTGTAATTCATAAAACACCCTTACAGAATTTTAGAGTAACTTGAGGGAAAGTCTATCACTAATCTCAATCTTTATTGTCATTCTTTGTTAATATTTCTATTATTGTATCTTGTGTTTGTTTAAAGTGCTTACAGTCCCCAAGAGTTGGTGGAATTATCATAAATTTCAACAAACTTAAGTCAGAATTTTTTAATAATTTGAATGTATAATACTTTTGACTATGTTATGGGATTTCTTTTATAGAATGTTAACTAGTAACCAGCAATTTGGTGTGTGAGTGAGGGATAGAAATTAT